AAATCAATCTCCATTGGATGTCAGGTCACTGTACAGATACCAGAACTATAACTTCTGGAAAGCAGTTGTTGCATCTGTAAAGTGACATCTGATGGGCACTGATTAACCTGGTTACATGCTCTGATCAAGTCATAGCTTTGTAAGTGGAATTTATTATAACTTTAGGGCCCTTTCACATGGTCCGCATTCCGTTACGATTTGCAGGATATCTATTTACAGAACCCCTGCTGATTTGATCAGATTGGACAGATGATACATCTGTGTCTGCTCAGTTCGTACGGCTAGGAGTAAATGGACTCCACTGTCACTACCCTCCGATGCAATCTGCATAAATGGAAGAAGATGTATCCATTTTCTCTTTTTTTTTTTAGCAGACCAGACAGGACCCAGAGGTAGGTGGAAATGGACACAAGTCTGTTTCCACCCACCTGTCTACAAGAATGCACCTACCAATTTTATCTGATAGGATCGCCCATGTGAAAGGGGTCTTATTGTTTAAAGGGTGTTTTATCTGTAGTATCTTGTGCACTCTGTTTTGCTATACTTTTACTCTCAGCTATATATGCCTTCAGATAAATGAGGAGCTTGCAAGGAAGATCAATCTACTTTGGTTCTAGTAAAGTGCACTACATCCGAAGATTGTAATGTTGTACTGTGCTTATTAACCTTACCTGTATTAGGCACAGTTCAAAACTTCCACACCAATACTTAGGGGTGATGGATGGGCACAACTAAAGCTCTAAGCACCCCGTTTTGAAACCTTTATGTATGAGACCCCAAAGTAGTAGATGATGTAGTACACCCTAACTGCATTTAATCTTTTTAATAAAAAACACTGCGTGAAATAAACAATTGTCACTTTTACTTTTTATTAAAATATGTGTTCATTCTTTTTCAAATCTGAGTGTTGCTGATTTCCTGTGGCCTGTGAGCACTTCAATGATGGCTAATTGGCATTTCTAAGAGTGGGCTTCCTGATGGTGACAACAGTGGAACATGCCTGCATAATACTTGTTGAATTGGTCACTTGTAGTCTCCCTCAAAAGGCTGCGAGACAGGATAACAACACAAGGGCACAACTGGGAGACAGGGCATTTTCACCCTATAAAGGAAAAGTCTCTGAACAAGAACCTTCATGACAGAATTACCATGTACTATTTACAAAATGTAGAACATGACTTTTGAACATACATTAACATGTCAGAGGTTATAAGATATTTTAGTGACTGGATTTACATATGCTTAAGCCCAACCCCACAAATGTCATGGGCTTCCATATTATGCACTGGAAAGATCTAACAAGTGTGAAACAGCTGCATGCAAGATGGATACATGGCTCTATATTTAGGCCTTGCTTTCTCCATATTCCCTTCATTCTGGACACATGGCTTTCACAAGCCACAAAGAATAATTTTCTTGACTCTAACCAGTCTTAAAGATGAAAATGAATCCCTATTTTTTTTTCTTTTTGATAAAGTGATATGTGAATAACTTTTGTTTAAAAAGCAAAGCTATGGCTCTAGTTAATGTTATTTCAGTGTGTAAAGGAAGTGACAAGTAAAATCCTCCCTTCCTTACAGGGCAGCTGTCTGTACACCATTCTCTCGTGCTGACTGGGCAAGCTCTGCTAAAGTTAACAAGCAGGGAGACAATAATGACAGAATCTACAGTTTATCAAGTTTTATCATTCTGATCTTTAAAGCTAGATTGTGCCTAGATATAACAAAAACAGTTAATGTATTTGCAACAGTTCGAATTATTATCTTCTTATGCTACTGTAAAATGCAGTTGGGCGGATGGCTTAACATGGGAAAAATGTTGCTGTGTGTTTTTTTCAGTTACATTTTATGACAGACACAGTATATGTGGGAACTTTCTGCTTTCTTGGCTAGGTGAGAGTGACATAGGTGCCCCCCCTTCCTCCTCATTGGAAGTTCACATCACACATCCCATAGGAGTCACAGCATTCTGCATATGATCAGACATGGTGCTGCCCTCTGCCAGGTATTTGGCAAGTGGCAGAAACTAGCAAAATAGCTACAAGGTACCAGATACCAGAATTCACTAGTGAGTGTTCACAAGAATGTTGGGGGAGTGACGTTCCTCTTTAATTGCATTTTTACACAATCTTTCTTTGTGCCATCTTCTTAAATCCCACCCACTTTTTCAGATTATTTTGTCTGCCATAAGAGACCTTTCTGTTACAAACAGAGCCCCTATGTGTAGGGACAAAATGACCATTAGAATCTCTTAAATCTTACAGTTATACATGATACAGAACAATGCAGTTCACAGTAATCCCAAAAGAAAACCAACGAATGCAAGGAAGCATTTTAATTTAAATTTGCCCATTTAACAGGAGAATCAAAGATAAATGGAAAAATATATGTCTATAAAAACGGAAAGGATAGACATACTGGAAATTAGGAATACCCAAAATGGCTGATGGAATCATCCTAACATGACATTGGTTATGTCCACATAGTCATATAAACTTTTGAAGATGTGTAAGAAGTGACATTTTTCTTACACAACTTATTTAAACTGAAGACTAGGTATGATCTTTATTGCATAGTTACATTGGCCCAGGTTGGATATAGATGAGCAGGCACTCTACACAGGACCCAGAAGATTGCGGTGATCACTGTAAAAGCAGGAACTACTAAAGTGATTGTCAGGTTCCCCAGGGCTCCCTTCAGTATGCATGCTTACATAGATCCAAGCTGGACTACCATAACTATGCAATGAAGAACACATCTAGACTTCAGCTTTAAGTCTGTCACATGATAAATCAAAAAGAATAATTAGTATCTAAATACTGTATGTATTATTTGAAAATACAGAATATAAATGTTTAACAGTTTATAGCATATACAGTATATATAGTGATGTGGGGTGATTAGACTAAGAATGGCAGAGGCATTTTAGTGAGACATGTTAGTCCAAACTTGTGCTTTAAGGGCCTGGTGCCCACTTTTATTAAAAAGGAAAAACAAAGACTTTTTTGCCCACACAGGGGAATTGGTTTCGAAAACAACTGATAATGTTAGTCCACCTGGCTACACTTTGGTAGCTCCACTGCTACTAGTACTGATCCCTCAAAACACCGGTTCTTAAGACTCACTTACTGCACAAGCCCAAACCTGGGCTCTAAATAGGGTTCTCTAACTCCCTCGAGCTTGCTCACTTCTCCAGAGACTTCTAGACTCCCTCCAGACCCCTGGTTTCACTAGCCACCTCAGTTTCCTCAGTCTCCCAGACCCTTTCTTGATATCCCAGATTCTTGTATCTTTCTCGACTTTCTCAGTCCATGGGCAAGGGATGCAATGTTAAGCAGGAACACTCAGCTCTCCTGGCAGGGCTCCGTCTTCAAATAGCAGCAACTGCCCTAGACTATCCTCAGGCATTCATAATAAGGGCTGTGTGCACCTGGACACACTCGCTGCTAGTTTTCAACAAAACCCGGACACTGAGTTGGGGATTTCTTCCCTCTCAAGACACTTTGAAACTTCTGGAGCCCAATCCGGGAATACCAAAATTTGGAGAAAGCTGTAAAAAACAGTTTTCACAGCTCATAATTGACATTCCGGAGTCTTGCAATCTACACATGTGTGAAGCCCATGTCCTTTTTCCAACCGTTTTCACAGTGGTAGGGCCTCACACTGTGACTATATATATATATATATATATATATATATATATAAATTATGAATATACTGCATATCTAAGTTAAATATATTAGCACATTTAATGCAACGCATTTTTTCTTTTTTTCTCTCAATAATATCCATGTGTAAAGTCTGAATTGTACAGTGCCTACTGTAGACTAAATGTCTTTAGTCCTCAGCAAACTTCATGACATGAAGGGCTTGGAATGTGATTAGCAATCAAATCACGTGTCTTTGCACTTGGTGTAGTACAGGGGTCTGAAGGGCAATGAGACCACATTTGGCTGCCAAGGCATTAACAAATAATTCCTAGATGGAATTACAAACCACGATCGTTTGCCTTAGATAGCAGCTGCCTGATGACCCAACCAGTGTATGAAATCAAAATGACATATTACCATGTGCACACATGCTGCTGGCTGCATGTTGATGTACTGACTGCACGTGTTATTCTTACTTTGCCCGGTGATAGCCCTGAGACCTAAAGAGGATCACTTCTAACCAATAATCCAAGCAAAATTTACAAGTATCTTGCAAATGGTAGCTTATGTTGATAGTGTAAAATGGAACAATGGATATGAATCAAGTACACCACAAGTTTCACTGACACCATAGAAACCACCAGTGAATTTCTGGGTCTTTAGGTATTCCTGCTTGAGATGTTTACTGCAACTCTAGTCCTGTTGATTTTCCAGAAGACTAGTTGCCCCAAACAAATAACCTGATTCACACTGTCATTGCAGGCTAGAAAATAAAAGAAATCAATTTTTCTGCATGATTTTCCTTTTTTCAAATGTCTGGATCTAAAAGATGGGACAGAGGCAGGTCCTCAGTGAAAGAGACAATTGATGTGAGGCATCATGTAAGATTTAGCAGTGTCTACATTCATACTTTTTGTGGGATGTAACAAATGAGTTACATTACGCTGTTGTGACAGGATTTGAAAAACTGGAAACTACACTGCTTATCTGTACTGTAAATGTTTACATATAAATTATTGAACAAATGAAAATGAAAGGAAGAAATACAAATGATTCTACTTTTAGACACTTTGATCATGAAGTCACTTTTTATATCTCTCTTACTCTTCAAATGGTAACAGCAAGAGAGGAAAAATGAATGATGAAGGTACTCTAATATTAGATTGTAATCATCATTGTGAAATGTACTAGACCATTTACTGTACATCTCAAATAAATTATTGTTTTACTTAAAGTACTACAGCAAATGCAATAAAGTAAATCTAAAAGACTGAACAAAACTTCTGTATGAATCAATCGGTATAGCTCAGATTATATGGATCTAGGGATATATAAAGTAATTAGGGCTCACCTGGCTGTCTCCTTCCATTCCATTTCTTGACCATCCACAGATAGTAGCTCATCAAGCTCAGTGAAGAGCTGAGGGGGTGCTGGGCCTTCATCTTCTTCCCCCAGAATAAACCGAATGCGTTCTGCAGCAGGGGAGACTGTAGAGGTGAAAATACTTCGATTAACAGCCTGGTTGATAATAACTGAATTACGGCTTGGAGCACACTGTTTGCTCCTACTAGCATTCAGCCTGTTCTCCAGACTTTCTTTATCAGAAGACATAGTCCCTGTTGAGGCAACTAGACCTGACGGTTTATCTGCTTGTGTTGTCTCTATAGCTCTAAACTTTTTAACAAGTCTCTTGGGTAGGCAGTACTCTAACGATACAGTATTTTCAGACAATAATACCACCCTAATATGCTAAGGTAAGCAAACTTTAATATTTATATGGCAGGGAACCAGTTTAAACCAAACCAGCTTGGGCAACATTACTGGATAGGAGCATCCATCTACAGATTCCCCACCCTCCAATCTAACTCATGCCATAGTCATTGGTTTGCAGGTTTAGGGACTTATTACCAACAAGGCAATGTTTAACATGAGACAGTCTGCATTTTACATGAAGACTAGGACAGAATACATTATGTTAAGCATCAATGCACCTGAAAAACAGCTTGAGGTCAATTTCAGCACAACTGACAGCGGACTTTTGTTAAGCCATTATGTTCAAAAGACTATCATTTCTTACAAAAATGTAAACTTTTCTTTACTGGTAATAGCTATATCTTTTTAACAGTTTCAGACATTTTCTGCAGACATTTCATGTGTTTTAAAAAATGCTAATACATTATTAGTACAACAAACTTGCTATGGGTTTTAACACAGACAAGTAGCAATGCTAAGAACATTCATTATATATTTACTATGCATGAGCATTCAGCACTATGTCAGCATTACAGAATGCCTTTTGATAAGTTTACCAGTTGGAAACAATATAGCTACATTGCAAAATTGTTTATTAAGATCTTATGCTTTCATAAACTTTGAGAGGAATTTATCAAAACTGGAGCTGCCAAAAGCTGGAGCAACTGTGCATGGCAAACAAACCTATTTCCATTTTCAAAGCTTAACTGAACAAGCTAAAGATGGAAGCTGATTGGTTGCCTTTCACAGCTGCTCCAGATTCTGTCTGCCCCAGTTTTGATAAATGACCCTCATTAAGTTATAAAATGTTTTTGTTAAATCTGGCAAGATGTCTCAAAATATTTAAAAACCTGTTTTCAATGTACATTTTCCATTCTTTCTACATTACAGTGTCAGTTTAACTTTGGAGAATTGAGAGAATTGGAGGAGTGGGATTAACTGAGTATATATACAGTAGGACATTTGGGTGAAAGGGCCAACTGTTGAAGTCCTTACGTGCTATAAATTTCAGATTACAGTCCAACAGAATCCACTTGTAAGTAAAATATCACCTGAAATATCATCATTAAGATACCAAGATTCAAAATAACATCATTTACAGTAAAGAAACAGAAATGTATCTAGATGCAGTCTTTTTAAAGTGATTTGTTACTTACAAGTCTTAGGTTAGCAGGGATAAAATAAAAGTCCTGGCAGCTTCATTCTTTTAATTTATAGTTTTGGATTGTTTTGGATATATATATGCCAGAGGTATTCAGTATTTAAACCTTCAAAATTTGAGTGCAGTCTTCAGAACAGATCTTAACTCAGAACTTAAAACTCAACCTTTGGTAAACAATCTTCTTACACTTGCTACATGTGAGGTTTGGTTTCAATGGTTTTTATTATACCTGATGTAGCCAATTAAATGCATTTGAAAGAAAGCTCGTCATTTTAGTTTCCTTTTTGACATCTGTAAAGATTTATTTATGACTGCGGTGATCATATATTTTAAGGTTTACAAGATGCCACAAAACATTTAACTGCAAAATGTAAATGCAAACATTGCAACTCTGTACGTTGTCCAGCTTTACAGGACACCTAACAAAGTTCCCCAGTTTAATAGCATTATATGATCATGAACCATACTGACAGACAATAGGTTGACCATAGCTTTAGCCAAATTCCAAGTTAAAAGTATCAGTTCTGTCCATTGGTCCTTGGGCAAATGTTAAGATTCTTATATGTAAAGAGTGCTTTGCAAAACCCAGGCTGATTGGTATAGGTTTCTTGAAAGGGATCTTCTCACTGTACTGTCAGTACACATTCACTGTACTGTCAGTACACATTTCAAGAACACTTTGGTTAAAGTGTTAGCGTGTGGAATCCATGTCTAAAAAGTGTCTGATCTTTGAGGGAAAACATGTCTTTGGATCTAGCCTAAATACTATTATCAAGAATGCTACTAGTGGCAAAGTGCACTTTTGCTTCTCAGCAGAAGACTGGGAAGATACATCCTTTGCTGCCAGTTAAGAAAAGTCCTTTTTGTTTCACCACTCCTGAAACATCCATGTACAGAACCTCCCACGCTTGGCTTCCAGTCCACCTGCAAGGCCTGGAGCTCAAAGTTCACCAAACCGAGACAAACCTTTCTCTGGATGTAGGTGAACCCCGACTTTCCAAGATGGGGGACGTTTGTTAACCTTTGCAGATGCTTGGACAGCCTGCAGTTCAGTTGTCTCAATATGGGAGGTAGTTTCCAGTGGCTAGATGCTGGGGTTTCGCTTCCTATCCCCTCCTAAATTACTCCAGATTCTCACCTACAACCTTCCAGTGTCACTATACAGATTAAACATCGCAGTCAAGCCCTCTTGGGTCCTCTGCATCTGGTTGTTATTTCCCTAGTTTCTGTGACAGATCCTGTGACAGTTCCTGTATCAGGGGTTTTACTCTTAACCTTTTCACTGTGCAGTGCTCTTGTGGCATTGCCATTCTTGAATACTTAGGTAATCTACTGTTGAAGGAACAGTGGACTTAGGACCTGTCAGAAAACATGGTCATGACTGTCCAGACGTTAAAGCATTTTGAAGGATCCTGAACCTTCAGAAATCACCCCAGGAGTCAACTTTTCATTTCTCCGCTTAGTCCTGGACACAACTTTGACCACCACCACTGCCCACTTTGACTCCAGACATCAACAATGCATCATTCTCTCATTGTGCAACAAGTTAGTCTGATCCCTGAACAGACTGATTTATTTGGTTCTAGAATCAGGGAAGTCCTTCCTTCCTAACTTTTGGAAGATCCCCATATTAGCTTTACGTATCACAAACCTTTAAAAGAACAATGGCAAGTAAAAACCAAGTGAAATTCTAGCTCGACTTTCAGGTTAGAAAACAGCTGGTCAATACAGTAAGTCCCCTACATATGAACGCTCTAATTGTGAACTTTCAAAGATGCGAACATGTGTTCATATGTCCAATTGTGTAAAGCTGGGTACATGCACTCAGTTTATTTTTTTCACTCAACCCAGTGAGCTGAACAAAAAAAAAAAAAATGACACTAGCAATGTTGGTGATGCGATCTCTCCTGCTGTGCCTTTGTGTTCTGGCAGGGGGACTCTCCCCACCAAAACACACTGATTAGCGCTCACAGCCATTGCCTGCAAGCGATGATCTTTGTTGGGCTTACAAACAAGGTGGACTTACGAATGAGCTTCCAGAATGGAAAATGTTTGTAAGTAGGGGACTCAAAGTAATACTGAATCAGATCAAATCAAAAAAGGGCATTATTTGTCTGCACAAAGCTTAAAAAAATAGTTTGTGGAGAATATATATTGTACAACCAAGGTAAAATATGCTTTATATGGAGTCAGAAAATAACAAAAGCTGATTTATAATCTCTTGTTACATGTTGCTGCACACAATTGTTACAGATCATTTTTCACCAAACTTGACAATGACAATACTTTGTTGTACTTGTGTTTGTTGCTTTCATGCAATATGCATTTCTTCTGCTAACCAAGACCCTATGCAGACTTGTAAATTAGTGCAGCTGTAAACATGAAGTTTTTAATCCTCAATCGTCCCATCTACAGGTGAAACTCGAAAAATTAGAATATCGTGCAAAAGTTCATTTATTTCAGTAATGCAACTTAAAAGGTGAAACTAATATATGAGATAGACTCATTACATGCAAAGCAAGATAGTTCAAGCTGTGATTTGTCATAATTGTGATGATTATGGCTTACAGCTCATGAAAACCCCAAATCCACAATCTCAGAAAATTTGAATATTACATGCAATCAATAAAACGAGGATTGTACATAGAACAATATCGGACCTCTGAAAAGTATAAGCATGCATATGTACTCAGTACTTGGTTTGGGCCCTTTTTGCAGCAATTACTGCCTCAATGCGGCGTGGCATGGAAGCTATCAGCCTGAGGCACTGCTGAGGTGTTATGGAAGACCAGGATGCTTCAATAGCGGCCTTCAGCTCTTCTGCATTGTTCGGACTCATGTCTCTCATCTTTCTCTTGGCAATCCCCTATAAATTCTCTATAGGGTTCAGGTCAGGAGAGTTTGCTGGCCAATCAAGCACAGTAATCCCACTGTCCTTGTACCAGGTTTTGGTGCTTTTGGCAGTGTGGGCAGGTGCCAAGTCCTGCTGGAAAATGAAGTCAGCATCCCCATAAAGCTTGTCTGTGGAAGGAAGCATGAAGTGCTCCAAAATCTCCTGGTAGACGGCTGTGTTGACCCTGGACTTAATGAAGCACAGTGGACCAACACCAGCAGATGACATGGCTCCCCAAATCAACACAGACTGTGGAAACATCACACTGGACTTCAAGCATCTTGCAGTGTGTGCCTCTCCATTCTTCCTCCATACTCTGGGTCCTTGGTTTCCAAATGAGATGCAAAAGTTGCTCTCATCAGAAAAGAGGATTTTGGACCACTGAGCAACAGACCAGGTCTTTCTTTCTTTCTTAGGTAAGACGTTGTATGTTGTTCAGGAGCGTCTTGACAAGAGGAATATGACATTTGAAGCCCATGACCAGGATCCGTCTGTGTGTGGTGGCTCTTGTTGCACTGACTCCAGCCTCAGGCCACTCCTTGTGAAAGTCCCCAACACTTTTGAATGGCCTTTTCCTGACAGTCCTCTCCAGGCTGTGGTCATCCCTGCTGCTTGTGCACCTTTTTTCTTCAACACTTTTCCCTTCCACATAACTTTCTATTAATGTGCTTTGATACAGTACTTCAC